TAGTGACTTCTTCTTCAATTCACAAATAAGCTGTTTCATGTTTGTTATTGACAGTTTATTTCTCCGCAACTTCTGTTGTAACATTTTTATTTTCTTATTTTTTTTCAAAATTTCTCTATCTTTCTCCACAAGGACATCTGTTAAAAGGTTTTCAGATTCAGTTACAGATTCAGGAGACTCTGATGACACATGTGCTTGGCAGGCTGAAGGAGAATGAAGTGCATGTTCAGGGCATATTGCAGTGGCATCTGAAGTTAATGACTCCATGTCTGATGTTGAAGATGATTCAGGCAACTCTGGAAACACAGGTCCTTGGCAGGTCGAGGAAGCATGAAGTTGATTTACAAGTGAAGTTAGGTCATGTTCAGGGCATATTGCAGTGGCATGTGAAGGTAATGGCTCCATTGCTACCATGTCTGATGGTGAAGATGATTCAGGTAACTCTGGAAACACAGGTCCTTGGCAGGTCGAGGGAGCATGAAGTTGATTGACGAGTGAAGTTAGGTCATGTTCAGGGCATATTGCCGTGGCATTGGAAGGTAATGACTCCATTGCTACCATGTCTGATGGTGAAGATGATTCAGGCAACTCTGGAAACACAGGTCCTTGGCAGGACGAAGGAGCATGAAGTTGATTGACGAGTGAAGTTAGGTCATGTTCAGGGCATATTGCCGTGGCATTGGAAGGTAATGACTCTATTGCTACCATGTCTGATGGTGAAGATGATTCAGGCAACTCTGGAAACACAGGTCCTTGGCAGGTCGAGGGAGCATGAAGTTGATTGACGAGTGAAGTTAGGTCATGCTTAGGAAGGGATGCATTAAAAACTGAGGGAACAGCATTATGTTTAAGCCGTTTACTTCTATCATGTGTGAAGTCAGTCTTTAAAAAATGTTTGCTGCAAATGTGGCTAAATTGGCTAGCTTTCAATTTATTTCTTTGACCATCGTTTTTGTTGATAGAACTTTCCCATTTTTCAAGCAGTTGAGAATTCTTTAATGGAAACCTAATGAATGTACACAAGTGCTATTAGAATAATATAATTTTTACAACATGAACTCAAAATTATGCATAATTTTGTTTCACTGTTTTTGAAACTGCTATTCTGAACACAATAGACCTTTTCAGATTGTATGCAAATTAACCGTTTTCAAATCACATAGTCTGAAATGGTTAAGTTTTATTGGCTTTTCCATAGTCACAACATCTGAAATAGGGTTAATTTTTATGCAAGCTGAAATGGTCCATTGTATGTAAAGATCAGCTACATCAGCTTACTAACTTAAAAACTCTTTTGCAGGCCACTTAAGTAATGCATTAAACATCTGTTTCTAAAATATCATTTCTATAACCACATATATCCTCTTGTTCAAAGCTTCAATAAAAAATATTTTATTTGCATATGAAAACTTTCCAGTGTGCTGTTAGAAAGTTGCTTGCAAATTTTGTCCAAGCTTGCCAGCTTTGGAACAACTGGTCTCAGGAAGGCATCATACTGCATGTACCTGCATCTCAAATTCATGTACATGTCAGCTTGCAAAAAAAATAATTGAACATCAATAGCCTCAGCAACACCTACTAGTTAGTTGATTTGAGGGTGGTGAAAATGAAATGTTTTGACAAATATGCAGCACAGAACTGGGCCGTTGATATGAAATTGCACATATTTGGAACCAAGCAAAAAGATAACACAGGGTGAAGAACTAACCACTCCAATTACAGAGTCTTGATTTCAGGGTGACCACCATTCAAGTCTATGATTCACAAAAAAACCCAATGCCAAGAATATATAGTTTTTTTAATGAAGTAAATTTTGTTTCAATGGACATGATTATAAAATAAAATTATAAGTATAATATAAATCATATACAAATATACATCATGAAAACTCTGAGAGTCTAACTAAAAATACTAAAAATAACAGTTCGCTCTACAATACAATGGTTTTCGACTGTGCAAATGTTATCATATGTTATAAAAATTTGGTTGTCTGCTATAGTGCTACTAATAAAATCTCAGCGATGCAAGTGAGCATGCAGCATTGAAGTCATTTAGTCATCTACTGAAATTAAAGACAAATATACAAGTTTTCATGCTAACTTGCTTCTTCTCGTCGTTGCGTTGACGGCTTTCCCTTTGGAAATGTTGCGGACAAAAACATTTAAATTTCAACCCGGAAAAAATACACACATCCAGTCGAAATATAATTTGAGTCGCTGTTGTTTGTGTTTGTAACTCATCGCCATGTTGAATAGTTTTTCATGTTTTGAATTATGCAAGGCGCTTTTGGGCGGGAAATTTTCAGTGTTTAAATATTCAAAACAAATATTATTTGAATTAACTACCAAAACAATTAAATTGAAACACTTTCTCCCTTTTTGAAACAATTTCGGTGCGACGAACAAACGTTTTAAAAACTTGCAGCAGACTTACGAGAAATGGCGAAGTCAGTTTACCAACCTGGGGCCGGTTGTATCAAGCCCGTTTAGCTTAAACGGTGGATAAGTTCAAAATAGAAAGCAAGTCTGCCGTTTTATTCAACAAGCAAACTAAATGTTTTTAATCTTAATACAAAGATATTGTTTACAACTACATATTCAGTGCATAATATTCAAGTTGACTCATTCAAGAGAGATGTAAGAGTGTTATTTAATTTTGACTTATCCACCGTTTAGGCTAAACGGGCTTGATACAACTGGCCCCTGTGAAACGAAATTAGCTCGTGACTTGCTCCGTACTGCTTGCGTTTGCACGAAGAAACGATGCAATATATCGGCATTTTTTTTGGCTAACTTATTAAGTTCGATACCGGTTTCTTCATGTTTTCTTAATGAAGACGTTTTCCTCACCCTTTTTTCCAAAAGCAAACACAATACAGTAGATTTTAGGATTACACAGTTTGCGCCCAAAATGTATTGCATTGAGTTTGTTATCTTTTTCGTGATTGCATTCAAATTTATACTGGCCGTGTAACGGTTTGCATTCAGGGACTGAGACTGACGTACAAACCGCGTGATTCTGATGTTTGGGAGACTGAAACTGACGTACAAACCGCGTAGGAAGACTGGGCGTTACGCTTCATTTTTCGCGCGCTTAAAGTATGGAAGTTATCATTCCAGATATAATATATATATATATATATATATATATATATATATATATATATATATATATATTATATATATTATATATTATATTATATATATATATATATATATATTATATATTATATATATATATATTATTATATTATATATAATATATATATATATATGGAGTTCACTGGAGCCGATCCTCCAGGAATTATTACATAGCTCAGTGGAGTAAACAGAGACAAATGTCTTTCCGCAATAGAAACATTATTTGGATTTGATATATTCTATGTCTGTCAGCAGTCCAAGTTATGTAAGTATGATATATGCCAAACGAATGCTGAGAATATTATTTTAGTAATGTTTTTCGGGCGATTTATATACCATCTTTATAACAAATAGAGATTCTTGAACGTTGTATCCCTAGGGGTGAACCTGCTCAATCAAGAACAAACGAATGTTCTTGACCTTGCTTTGGCAGGCCACAATGTTTTCTTTTGTGGTTCCGGCGGTACGGGGAAAACATTAGTGAGTTTGGGAGACGCAACGCGAACGCGACGGCAACGTTGAATTTTGCGCGGTTGGACTGGATCGAGTTTAAGTTGACGTTGTCGCGTTTGCTGAAGTTCTGTTCACAAGGGCATTTACACTGTTTTGCCGTCCTCTCGAGAACGTCAAAATATTATGGCTACGGACAAGTAAGTTTGGCATATTGTTGCTATTTTTTCTTCTTAATTTCAGTGAGATGACCAATTTAAGTAGTGAAGACAGAAATAATCAGAAATTAACATTTATTTTGTAGAAAACCGATGAAATGGAGCGAAGCACACGACATGCATTTACTGCGCAAAATACTTGCTGAACGATCGTTCGAACACCCGAAAGGCTCTCGGCAAATTGGAACAGCATGGCAAAAAATTGTGGATAATCTTAACGGCAAGACCGAAGTTTCATTCAATCTCAAATCCATTAGAAGCGTACGCGACAGATACGGGCTGCTGGAAACAAAATACAAGAGGAACGTATCAAACGAACTAAGGGAAAGTGGCACGAACCCTGAATCAACTGAATTTGATATGGCAATGGAAGATATCATAGGCCAGTTTGAAAGTCAAGAAGAAACTGCTTGTAAGGCTAAAGAAGCCAAGGATGCTGCACGCTCGAAATATGCTAGGGAAGCTGAAGAGATAAGACAAACGGCTATGCACTGTTATTTTTAGGGAGTTATTTTAACACCAAAAAAGGGGTCAAAAAAAAAGGTTCAAAATGAGTAGCTTTTTGGAGTAACAAATAACTCCACTTCTGGTGTTATAATTTAACACCGCTTTTGGAGTTAATTTAACTCCAATTCTGGACATAAAACATAACTCCATTTTTGGAGTTAAACACATTTAACACCGTTTTAGGTGTTAGGCCGGTTTTCTACTATATAGGTAAATTACTTCGATCGAAGGAAATTTTTCGCTTGATTTTCTTTTCAATTGTGATCTATCCAGTAATTCTGCCTCGGTTTAATTTCACAATTGAAAAGATAAATAAATTGAGCGAAATATTCCGTTCCATCGAAGATTTCTACCTATATATAATACCGATCGAGTCAACAAACAATGCAGCACAAATATCGTTATTATATTATTATAATATTGAATACATGAGATCAATTACATTTCTGTTTGAGTACAGCAAGTCAACTACGCACTAAAGGAATTGCTTCTATAGTATAGCTCTTTAATACTTTTTATTTACACTTTAACACACATGCACATTTGCAAAAAATTTAGAAAATGTTTTTAAGTGGAGTACCATGCATGCCTAAAACATAATGGTATAGTCATTAAGACACTGGTTGTTCAGTTCTACTAGAGTTCTACTAAGCTAAGACTCACTCTACCAAGATGATGACTGGCTGTATAAGCAATACTGATCCACGTTTCTTCTTTTACAATTTTCCTCGTAGTAAAATTTTCGGAGGTTTCCTGTTGTGCCAATTGCACGAAACGAGTCTTCAATCTACGAACAAATAGAAAAATTGCATGTATATGAGTGTAAATTCGAGTAGTGTGCTTTGTATGCATATAACAGAGCACATTGTTCAACAGACCTTCAAAATCTATATGTTCTATGTGATCCACAATGCAAACATACTCAAACAAATAAGCAGAAACATGTGAGTATAAGGAAGGAATAATTTCAAGTAACTTAGGCTTAGCTAATATAAAAAGAATAGGAAAAAAATTCCACATACCTAGATTTACTGCATCATGGTAAGTTGCTTCGTCCATTGAGAATTGAACAGTTATTTTGGGGTTGTTTTCAACATCGTTTCGCTAGGTTAGGGCCTGGTTAGGGCTTTCTTGTATTGAAATTTGTGTTTGAGTTTCCCATTGGCATTGCTTCTTCTACCCTCTACCGGGCATTGTGGACTCCTTCTACTGCTTCTAAAGATACGAATTCGAATTGTTATAGACTATTAAAATATCCCAGGAACTTTAAGGTAAATATCGGAGGCTCGCGATATGTATTCATGCTGATCAGAAACAAAAAAATACTTCGCCGTCAGTTTTGCGACTGAAAAACTCTTTTGGCAAGAGCCCCACAGAAAAAATAAATCGACCAGCATCAAAAATTATCGAAACAACTATTTGAAAAACATTTTAGAATCAAACTATAAGAATCTTGCAATAAATTTGTCTGTTTTTGCAGGCCAAGTTAACACAATAAAAAGGCGGGAAGACTAAATGCAAGAAAAACTTCAAATATTTACCTTAAAATAGCTCGCACTAGTCGCCAAATCCAGCTTTTCGCATCCAAAATCGCAAGTCCTCTACTAAGTTTACAATTTTCGAATGAAAAGTACCGAGAAAGAGAACTTTTTACGGAGCAAGCGAGGGCTTCGTGTGTACTTTGCAAATATTTCGCCAAGAAAGACCCGGCCACTGAGCTGTATAAAGACCTGAAGTCTTAGCATAGGTGTCCCTGGCAATTCAACCCACATCATGAGGTTTTCTTTTTCTTGATTAGTTGACTCAGTTTGTCTTGATTTTAAAATCAACTGTCAAAATTTAAAATGAAAGTTAATGTTAGGATACTATCAGTAATGTTTTTTGCTTTATTAATTTATGAACATATTCTGTGGTACCTAACAAACACTTATTTCTTCAGTTTAATTAATCTATGATTTGATGTTGTTGGTGATTTTGTATAAATGTTATTGAGGTCTCCAAGTGGGACAATGGAAAAGACATATAAATTAATTATTTTTCATACATGAAAATTTAACTTTCATGAGCCCTCAAGAATATTAATTCAAAAGGTCAAATTTTTTAAAATTGATTTCTGATTAAAACCTGCCTTGCAATACATATTGTGTATAATTATAGCTCTAAATTATCTGCACAGTTTAATGCTTGATTCACATGATCTGCACTGTTCAATGCATGGTTCTTTGACAGATAATATTAACACAAAATAGTTTTTTCAAAAAATTGTATTTATAGCCTTATGAATATATATAGCTTCATAATCATATATAACATGTTTAAGGGTCAGTTTTGAGAGATGTATTACTTAAAATTTTGTAGCATAAAAGACCACATTTGATATGGAAGACTGCAAATCACCAAGCTTTTAAATGCCACTTAACTCTCACATATATATGTTATCCAAAAATGCACCAATCAAATGTTTATAGCACTTCTTGGTTGTGTAAATAGCTAATGTGCATTTGAGCATTACACTAAATATTGACCACCTTTCAGACAATTATTAAAAAGAACCAGGAATGGATATTACAATGTCCCATATTACCTGGTTATTTTAAGGTGATCCTGAATATAAAAATAAAGAAGATTCATTGCAAAATAATTAACAAAAAACAGGAAAATTTTATTATTTGATTTATTATAAACTGAAATAAACAAGCATGCTTGGATTTCTTGCACATAAAGAGGTTAAAAATAGTTTTATTGAATAATTCATGAATAAATCATGTTTTAAAGTACCAAAAATATAAACCTGGGGAATTCGCATTTCCATAAATATATCAAATGAGCTCTTTTATATAGTTTGTTTGAAAATTTGATTTCGAAAAAACTTCAATTAAGGCCTTCCAGGCTAGAACTACAAGACCGTAAGTTATGATATTTTTAATGCGCTGAATACCTTATATAATAATGCGCTATACGATGTATAACGATCGGTTGTCAATGCTTTACTCCAGCCGATCGACCATGTATTTCGCTATTTAATGATTGATTCTATGACATTTATCGTTATAAACTTACCAGAACTATCCGAGGCAATCTTTTCATCACGTATTCTGATGTAGTAAATGATTTCAATACAAGATTTTGTTCAATTTCAATAAAAATTATTATTAACGCGATGTGCATCACCAATCTTCACTCCTTGTTTTCAAATCTCCATTATGAATATATAATGAGAGGAATTTAACTCCAAAAATGGAGTTAATTCCTCTAACCCCTCTAGATGGGATTATTTTTGCATACTAATCAACGTTCGAAGACCTCGTTACTCCACTGAGGAGTTAATATAACTCTAAAAGTGGTGTCAAAACAGCACCAAAATTTAACACCCCGAAAAATAAAATTTGGGGGTGTTAAAATAACTCCCTGAAAATAACAGTGTGGAGACATTTCGTGAAACCAAAAAACGTGCAGAGGGGGGAATCGGAAAAGGTTCAGATGACGAAGATGGCAGTTCGTCATCAGACACGCTACGCTCAACTAAAAAGCGTAGAGGCAGTGTAGTGGATTACTTGCTCAAAACAACCGAGTGTAACAAGGAAATTAAAAAACAAGAGCTGGAAATGAAACAAATGGAGATCGAGATTCGTAGGGAAGAATTAGAAGCACAGAAGAAGAGGGATGAAAGTATGCTTCAAGCATTAATAGCATTAGCTAAAAAAGACTGAACATGCACTATATAAATTGTATGTATTTAATTTTTTTATTTGTTGCAAGGAGTATGCAGGCTATTTATCGATTGGAGAGACTAGAGTCTGTAATTCTTACATTTGTTCTGTTATTCTTTTGTATATCCAGGCATATTTTGTTCACTTGGTTTGCATACAAAACTGGTACTACAGATGTTATACTAGGTCAGAGATCCCAATTCCCTCTCAGACTTGCATGGGGAATTACTGTGTCGGGAATGCTGTTTGTTAGCCGACAATGAACTCAGCTTTGTTTAGACATGATTTATTACTCATAAAAAAATATAACAATACAAAAGAACTCTTTTCAAAAACCTCACGTTCACACAACGTTTTGTTGAGCCTTCCTTTTTTGTCCCCTGATCAGCGGTAACTCTACTGTATTACTTAGTCTTATGTGCAGGAATATTCCCAACACTCTCCCCCTATTTGATTTGGAGAGATCAAATAATTATATGAACAACTACAACATCTTAAGTTATGAGTTCTATGGTTAACTTTCAAGTTCAAACTCGGCAACGTTCTTGATTAGCTTCTCGGCTTCTTGTGCGGCTTTCCGTTTTGGTCGGAACTCCCTGGCTTCTGCATTCAATTCAACTGCTGGTTTCTCCACTGGAGGATCATCACGTTCTAATTCCAATGGATACAGCTGTTGGACCACACGGTCGAGATATGGTTTTCCGGCTCGTAATCGTACAGCTCTAACGACACCATCTCGACCCTTAATAGGTTTAACAACAACACCTAGATTCCACTTGCCACGGTTTCGCTCGTCATTCTTAATAAGTACGACTTGACCAATTTTGATATTTGCCTTTTCCCCACCTCGTAGATCATGTCTTTATCTGAGACCTCGCAGGTATTCGTTGGTCCAACGGGACCATAAGGCGTCCTTGCATCGAGATAGGTACTTGGCTCGCTTTCTCAATGGATGATCTTCAATCTTGCTGGAATCTTCTTCCGGCAGATTATTAGGTTGTCCGAACATCATGGCATTTGGTGTTAAAGTCGGCAATTGGATATCATCGTCTTGGTAAGCTAAAGGTCAATTGTTCAATGTGACTTCCACATCCAGGATAATTTCTTCGAGTTCGTCCCATCTTAGATTTGCCCGACCGATCGTCTTATACAGCGCTCTTTTAACAAGTCCAACCATTCCAGCGCTCTCTCAACAAGTCCCACCAAGGGGCCTTGCTCAAGTTGAACTGCCACACGATTTGTTGATGGGCCAGGTAGTTTTGAAAACGTTCATCTTTCATTATCTTACGGATCCAATTTGCAGCCGAAACAAAAGTTTTACCAATATCCGAGTAAACTTTCCGCGGACGTCCTCTTCGTGCTATGGATCGCTTAAAACTGTTTATGAAATTCTCGGTAGTTTGGTCATGAAGTAATTCTAAATGAATAGAACGAGTTAGGCTGCAGGCGAAGAGCAAGATGTACGCTTTAAAAATCTTTCGTCTTATTGATCTTATAGATAAGGGGCCCAGCATAGTCGACACCAAGAACTTCGAAGGGAATTGATCCAACAGTTCTGTCGAGCGGCAGATTTCCAACTGGTGGATTATGATAGGCAGTTGCCTGGAAACGCGTGCACCCGTAACAGCCCGCAATCACTTTCTTTGTTGACTGGCGAAGTCTTGGTATCCAGTAACGCTGACGTAACCGGGTCATGGTTAACCCAACTCCCCCATGCAACGTTTCGACGTGAGCATCTTCAATCATTTTCTCACTGAGCAACGTGGCAAGCGGTACATAAATTGGATACAAGCCTTGGATTCTTCCGCGGCATTCAAATAGACCATTTACGTTTCTTTGAAGATTAAGTCTTAGCTGATCGTTCTTAAATTGTTCCGTTTCGATTTGTCTTTCGGTGAATTTCTTCACGAGCAACTCCACTTGAGTTTCGGTTTCAGTTGTTGTCAGCGGATCACTTTGTTTCCGAGTCTTGCCCAGCGTTGCCCTGAAGTTGTTTACAAATCTGGTTATCCAACCGAGGATACGAACAGATTTCCAGAAAGTGTGCTTTTGCAGCAGTTCATCCACTTCTTCTTTGACTTCTACAACTGCAGCAAACAAATTCTTGACCAACTTAACTTCAGATTCCGACTCTTTACCGGGTTGTGCAACTATGTCCTCAGGCCATTGATCGGGATAAGGCAGCCAATCTGGTCCATTCAACCATGACTCGGTCAGGTTATTTGGTAAACATCCACGGCCACCAAGGTCTGCAGGATTCTGGTGTTCCCGACATGCCTCCACTGAATGTAATCCTTGGCGTTCATTTTCTTCGTTCTATTCGCAACAACCTGTTTATAGTTGCCGTTTCCCTTTATCCAATAAAGGGCGGTAGTACTATCTAACCATGCAAAGACTGATGTAACTGGATAACTCAGCGCGTTCTTGACATTGTCGACGAGGGTTGCTGCCATGTGGGCTGATACAAGTTCTAATCGTGGGATAGTCAAATTCTTTTTTGCAAGTCTCGACTTCGCAGCTATTAAGCCTTGATTGACTCCCGATTGCTGGTGCACAACTGCGTACACGGCTGCACACGTACCGTCAGAACTAGTGTCACCGAACGCGTGGAGATGGACTGCTTCAATCAGTTCTTCAAAGGCTGTGATGTGTCAGCATAACCAGGATTAGGTATAGACAGGAGAACGCTTTTGGCAACCTTGCTTACTTGGGTTTTCATTTCAAACTTTCCTCTAACATCAGCCACAATCACATCATAGATCTCAATTCTCTGAATTGTCGATGACATCATCATATCAATATGCCGGTACTCAGTTCGTGAAAGCTGTTTCCTTAGAAGCTTTACCAAATCTGCAGAGATATACGAACTGCCAGCTCTTGTGTCCAAGAGGGCCCTGCATTTTATCCCATTGACAACCGCTACAACAACTGGATATATCACCCTCCCTTTACCAGTAGCCAACATCATTTGTTTAGTTGCACTTCCTTGGTCATCACAAATAGAGGTGTGATGTTTCGCATTACACCGAAAGCAAGTTGTTTTACTTCGACATTCGGATGCTCGATGTTTTACACCAGTGCAGTTGAAACATAGTTTTTTCTCTAACAAGATCTTCTTTCGAGATGTAATGTCCACAACTTGGTCGCAGTCTACGGACTTGTGTAGGGTTGACTCACAGAACACACACAGTCTTGGTTTCCATGATTCCTGCTTGGCATGTAAGAACTTTCCAGATTTTTGTTGATAATGGCTGGTACCCTTGTGATCTGACTTACGGTCTTCTTCTGATATGGGGTTCCTCACACACCATTTTCGCAGTGCTTCGACCGTCTCACCAAATCCCCAATCTTGCCAATTGTCATCTGATCGTACCAAGTCTGCCCGTATGCCTGGTAATTTATCCAGCGTGCTTCGTGCAAACCCCTTTACTTCGTTCAGCTTCCCCATGGTTTCTAATGCTTGTGTATTTGCAACCAGTGTTTCAAAGAAACGATTGATTTTCCTTGCATCGGACCCAGATATGGTTGGTAAGGAAATAATGCTCTGCATATGGGCATTTGCAACTTCACTTTCTTTCCCATACCGCGTCTTTAGGATAGTTTTCGCTCTTTCATACCCTTCGGTAGAAAAGGGCAGACCATCAATGAATGCACGGACCTTAGGAATAAGCAACTCTTTGAGGTAGGACAGCTTGGTAATGGGGCTGATCTCTGCCTTGTCAATTTCTTTTTCAAATTGCCCCCAGAATCTCTGCCAATCCAAGTGAGTTCCTTGGAATTTAGATATTACTAACTTGGGCAGCTTGGCAGAATTGCATTGGCTTGCAGACTTCATTTTAACTTCCTCTAATCCCCTTTCAAACTTCCGTTTCATTTCTAGTTTAGCTCCCTCGAGTGCCATCTCTTCCTCATAACGTTTCCTACGCTTTTCTTCTTCAATTCCTCCATCCTTATCCTCAGCTTTCTGGAGTTCAATTTCGCGCAGTTTCTCACTCTGTTGTTTCATTTCACTGATAACATTTTCAAACTCAAGTACAGTTTGTTCTAAGTCACGGCTCCATGTTCTAACTTATGTGAGGTCATCCCACTGAGCTATATAATAATTCCTGGAGGACCGGCTCCTAATGTTTTTTTCTCAAAAAGTTAAGCAAGAAACATGGCGGATTTTTCGTGCTGACGCCAGATATGGTCCCACTGGGCAATGGTATTGACCACTGACCAACCGCGATCCAAGCCAACAGACGTTTTTCTTCACCCTCCGGTTTTTTGCAAAAAATTCCCGCCTTGAACAGTTTTTCAAAGTGTTTACACGCATTTAAAACGTTAACCAAGGTTTTTGAAAATTTTTCATAAATATGCCGCGTTTTTGTTCAGCTTTTGGATGCCGTAACCGACTGTCAAAGGAAAATATTTCTTCCCATCGGTA